CCATTAAGATGTTATTCTTGCCAGAAATATGGTCACGGCTCCAAGTCTTGCAACAATCCAGCAGCATGCCAACGATGTGCTGGAGCATGCGAAGACAGTAGCCTCTGTGACAAAACACCCGTTTGTGTCAACTGTTCTGGTTGCCATCCCTCTTCTTCCAAGGAATGTCCTTCCTGGAAGTTACAGTCAAAAATATCGCGAGTGAAACATGAGCGAAACGTGTCATTTTTCGAAGCAAAACAGATTGTTCTGTCAGAAGAACAATCAGGTCCGACTTATGCTACCACTGTTTCTGCTTCGGTTCAGGCCTCTAAATCCAAACATGTTTCATGTGCTTCAGTAGGTTGTCAAACGGACTATACCTGGGCTAGAACATCGGCTCCTACCTTGTTCTCTGCTGAAACTCACGCGAGACCTGCAAAGGTGTCTTCCAGTGCACAAACCATATCTTCACAAACATTCAGTCAGGCAAGTTCATCTACTGAGAAAGATACATCTACATCTCAGAAACAACCATCTAAATCATCAGACACAAATGTGAAAGCAACTGTGAAAAGCAAATCCAAACCAAACTATGAAAACAAAAGGAATCAAAGTACCAGAGCCCAGAAGGGTCAAATAACCAGGTCCAACTTTTAACAAGTTTGGATCTCTTGAGGACATGGATGTGTCCGACCATACCCATGGTAGGACACATAGCTTGTCACCCTCAAGGAAGGTGAGGGGTAGATCTCCTGTCCATCCGCCACAGAAATAATGTCTTCACCCATAATACAATGGAACTGTAGAGGACTCCGGAATAATTTAAACGATTTACAGTTATTAAACCAAGATTTTAAACCGTCAGCGTTCTGCATCCAAGAAACCTACCTGAAAGAGACAGATAACTTTGACTTACGTCAGTTCAATGCATATCACAGTTTTCTCCTCCAGGTGATAGAGCTTCTGGTGGATCATCAATCCTGGTGAGGAACAATATTATCCATAGCTTAGTTCCACTCACAACCAATCTCCAAGCCGTTGCAGTGCGTCTTACGTTGCACGTTGCATTTACTTTGTGCTCTTTTATACCTTCCGCCTTCATCAATTGTTCAACTAACCGATCTCTGCAAGCTCTTTATGATCAACTACCCCAACCTTGTATAATCATGGGTGATTTAAATGGCCACAACCCACTCTGGGGTGGCACTAATACAAACACCAAAGGTAAATTACTGGAAGATTTTATTTCCAACAACGATTTATGCATTTATAATGACGGTTCAAATACGTATCTTCATCCTGGCACAGGAACATATACAGCTCTTGATTTGTCAGTTACTGACTCCAACCTATTGTGTGAATTTGAATGGTCAGTCCACGACGACCTCTGTGGAAGTGACCATTTCCCAACATTGCTAAAACCTTTGAATCCATCTGACGTTCCTCCATCATCAAGATGGAATTTTAAAAAGGCTAACTGGCCTTTATATGAAAATCTCTGTCGTGAGAAACTTAGGCCTGAACTTTTTAATGGTATTCCTGATGCCATAAAATGTTTTTCGGATGAACTAAATAATATAGCTGACGGGTGTATCCCAAAGTCCTCTGCAATTCCTCATGTACGAAAACCATGGTTTACCAATGATTGCAAACAGGCTAGGAAGGCACGGAAGAAAGCCGAGCACTATTTCCGTCGCCATCCTATGGTCCACAATTTGGACAAATATAAAATGTTAAACGCCAAAGCACGACGTACTTTCAAGCAAAGTAAACGCTTATCTTGGCGAAACTATATATCAAAAATTAATTCTCGCACACCTATATCCAAGGTGTGGAATATGATCCAGAAAATCAAGGGTAAGGGCTCTAAGTCTAGCATACACCATCTCAAGGATGGGAACGAGTTACTTACTAATAAATCTGATATTGCTAATAAACTTGGTGAGACGTTGGCCAAACATTCTTCCTCGACAAATTATGTACCTGAATTCCAAAAATATCAAAAACAGCAAGAAAAGAAAGCTATTAATTTTAATTCAGATAATGGGGAAGACTATAATGAAACCTTTTCGATACATGAGCTTCATACTGCTCTTGATCAGGCTCACGATACTGCTTCTGGAGCTGATAACATACATTATCAACTCCTGAAGCACTTGCCAGAGTCATGTTTGGAGACACTGTTACATATTTTGATGATATTTGGACAACTGGAAATTTCCCTTCGTCGTGGCGTGATGCTATCATTGTGCCCATCCCTAAACCTGGACGTGATCATACTGATCCTTCCAATTATAGACCAATATCACTAACTAGCTGTGTTTGCAAGACCATGGAACGCATAATAAATAATCGACTTGTTTGGTACCTGGAAACCAATAACTTAATAACAGATATACAATGTGGTTTCCGTAAAAAACCGTAGTACCATCGATCATTTAGTGCGTTTAGAATCTTTTGTCAAAAATGCCATAATTAATAATCAACATGCAGTGTCAATCTTTTTTGATTTAGAAAAAGCATATGACACTACATGGAAACAAGGTATTTTAAGAGATTTACACGATTTTGGATTGAGAGGCCGTTTGCCTCAATTTATATCCAAGTTTTTAGCTGACAGGCAATTTCAAGTCCGAGTGGGTTCTACCCTGTCTGACCATTATAATCAGGATCAGGGTGTCCCACAAGGCAGTATTTTGTCTGTCACACTTTTTAGCATCAAGATCAACAGTTTATCCAAGGTTTTAAATGATTCAATAGATGGATCACTTTTTGTGGATGATTTTAATATTTCTTGTCGTGGTAAGAATATGCATACTATTGAACGGCAACTGCAGCTGTGTTTAAATAAAATACATAAATGGTGTCTTGAAAACGGTTTTAAATTTTCCAAGTCCAAAACTAATTGTCTACACTTTTGTAGAAAATATAAGCCGCATAAAGACCCGGAACTATCTCTAAATGGCACTCCTATCAAAGTTGTGAAGGAGGCCAAGTTCTTGGGTATTATTTTTGACTCACACTTAACGTTTCTACCACACATTAAAACACTTAAAACTAAATGCCTGAAGGCACTCGATTTGTTAAAAGTTGTTTCCAGCTCAAAGTGGGAGGATCAAACTACGCTCCTTCACTTATACCGAGCATTGGTACGATCTAAACTTGATTATGGTTCGATCGTATATGGCGGAGCCTGCAAAAGCAACCTTAAATTACTTGATTCTGTTCACCACCAAGGTCTAAGACTTTGTCTTGGATCATTTAGAACCTCTCCAGTTGATAGTCTCTATGTTGAGGCAGATGAGCCTTCGCTTTCCCAACGCCGTATTAAATTATCCTTACAATATATTACTAAACTATATTCAAACAAATCTAATCCTGCATTTAATTGTGTTTTCAGTCCTCTTTACGAGGATTTGTATAACAAAAAGCCTTCTCTTGTTCCGCCTCTTGGGCACAGAATTAAACCATTCCTTTCTGCTGCCGGCATTGAGCTGGAGAATATATCTCCTTCTCGTCTTCTTTCTTCTCCTCCTTGGCAATTGGTGAGGCCAGACGTTGACTTAACATTAACCACATTTAAAAAATCTGAAACTAATGATTTACAGTATAAACAAGAATTTAGTCAATTAAGAAATAAATATAATACCTATAAATCCTTATATACAGATGGATCCAAGGATGGTGGCGCGGTTGCTTGTGCCACTGTCATTGGGTCCAAAACAATATCTTCCAGAATACCGGATAACAGCTCTATATTTACAGCAGAAGCAAACGCCATATTAACAGCTCTTAAATATATTCAAAGACATCCCAAACATAAACAATATATAATATTTTCAGATTCTCTTTCTTGCCTTCAGGCGATTAAAAATCTCTCTTGCAAACATCCACTTTTAATTGAAATAATCGAATTATATAATGATCTTGCTACTGGCCAATGCGACATCGTCTTTTTGTTGGTTACCCAGCCACGTTGGCATTTCTGGGAATACCATGGCTGATCTTGCTGCCAAGGCAGCACTCAACAAATCTGTGACACCACTTCTTATTCCATACTCTGATTATAAAGCTGGCATTAGAACTTACATCCGTGATCTGATGCAGAAGAAGTGGGACGCCCAAGTAGGTATTAATAAGTTACATGCAATAAAACCCTATATTGGTTACACCTACTTGGGTTGTCAGTCCAGATTTGAAGAGGTCATTATGCGACGATGTCGCATTGGCCATACCAGATATACTCATGAATATTTATTGAAAGGCGAAGATCCTCCGTTTTGTATCCCTTTGTGATGAAAGGATCACAGTCAAGCATGTCTTGCTTGACTGCATTGAATACTCCATCACAAGGGATAAGTATTTTAATGTCAAAACATTGAAAGATCTTTTTAATAATGTCAGTTCTCATTTAGTTATTGCCTTTTTAAAAGAATTAGATTTGTTAACAGATTTGTAAATAGCTAAATATTTTATGATTGGAAGTTCGAATTAGTAACAGATTGTTAGTGGCTGTATCCTCGAGGGGGGTTAAAGTACTGTAAAATTATTGTCCTCCCGAGAGGGTACGTAAGTCCCCAAACATTCAAAGTAAATTTCAACTTTCGGGGTTTTTTTAATCGTAGAATATGTGTAATTTTAACGTATGGCTAGATTTATCTCAATTGCTAACAGCTGAAGGGATGATGTAAATCCAGCTAGGTCCCATGCAGGAAGCAAATGTACTGTAAGTCCCCATGGTCTCTAGTATGGTGATCTAACTTCAGTTGTTAGCGATCTATAGCCCATTTTTATATTGTGTTGTCCCCTCTAGTTAAAATGTTTTAGATTCAATTACTAGTTTTACATGTATATCTGTGATAATCTAGTTATTTTACTGTCCTTCGTCGGCAGAATTTTATCATTTCACTTAAATTGTTGATAGATTTATAACTTGCTTTAGTCACGATATGGCTGAAATATTGCCGATGTGACTTAAAATCTTAACTCACTCACTCACTCACTTTTGCCACTTTTACCTCTAACATGCCCAACAGAATGTGACTTACAAGCCAGCCTCAAAGTTGGGTTGACAATATTAACACCATGGAGGCCAGTCCCTTTGATTTTGAAGTTCTTGAGAAATTCAGTATTGAAAAACTGAAAATCAATTAATGGAAAGGATGTCTTACTGTCAAATACTACTAGTTGGTGGCTTTGGTTTCTAGGTGATGAGTTACCTCCCTTTCTCTGTTCTTAATGACAAGGTTAATATGGCAGTGAAAATCAAGGGTGAGGACCATGGGGATGGCTCCAGGGGTTTAGCGTAGGCTTACTGAAAGGCTCTGCTGGTATAGAGGCTGCATTATCAGATGTTCTGTGCATTCAGTCATGTTTAAGTCAACATGTTCGATGACTTGTTGTGACATGACACTTTAGTGTGTGATGCAATGCTACTTCCATGGTTTTGACATAAATTACGATGTTACAAAATATACATTTGTGTCATGATACTCCAAAACTCTTCCAGTGTCATGATGTTAATCCAATGCACTAAAACTGACGTACTTTTATATTTAACATTGTCTGTTAACACGTGTGCTTATTGGTAACATGTCTGAGTTCTAGACATGCAGGTTGTTTAATTAAAATAATTGTTTTGTAAAGTTGAACACGTCAAACCGGGTAGAAGGCATTGACTGAGGGCAGGGAAATGTCAAATGGTTTGTCTCACTTCAAACTTGCTATAAATGTTCACAGTTGTACTCTCCAGAGTTTTCTGTTTGTAGTCTGGCAGTGACCCTTTTCCCTCAATTTTCAAATGTGGTAGATGGCCTATTAATTTGCTAGAAGTAACAGGTTCATTTTCTCAGACTTTTTAACAACAATCCAGGTTGCTAACATTCTGAAATAATTATTATCACAAAATGCCAGTTAATTTCAGTGAAGTCACAGAAGGTGCTTATCTCACTTAACTGATATTTTATTATCAATGCTTGTCAGTAAATTTTATTATAAGATTGTTGTGAATAAAAGCCAACAAAAGAAGTTTGTCTCTGTTTTGTTTTCAATTTGTAAGGTTTAACTTGATGAACCAGTAACTTGGAACTGTCAGGATTTTAAAGAGAATGGTGACTGACCTATTTTCTAAATTCTTCAGTGATCACCCGGACTCCCTCATCCTGTGTGATCCTGGATCAGACCATGTTGGTCAATACTGTGCCCATGTTTTGAATGCAGGGGTGTACATGAAAAACAAAGGTGGCAGTTTTTTTATGGAGGATCAGATGATTTATTTGCATCAGAGGTTTTGATTGGACTGACATGTTATCGTATCACAATTGTCTAGATCAATACTCAATCACTGGATCCATGTGGGTCAGTACCATGCCCGTGTCGGTCAGCACTCTCCTTATGAACGTCAGTATCTGTCCGTGTTCATAGGTACCATGCTCATGTTGGTTCGTGCATCTGAATGCATTATCTCATTACAATATTATATATATAAACATATGTAAAGTACAAAATGTAAACAGACAAACACACAATCTGTCCATGTTCATAGGTACAATGGTGGTTATGTTTGTCAGGATCCGCTCATGTTGGTTCGTGCCATGCTCGCGATTGTCAGTACCATGGCCGTGCTTTTCATCTGAATACATTATCTGATTACAGTATTATATGCATAAACACAAAAGGTAAACACACAAATACCCAAATCGTGTTCGTTAATACTTGTCTGTACCCTGACAATGTTAGTCAGTACAGAGACCATGTTCGTCACTACCGTGACAATGTTCGTCACAACTGTGACCATGTTCATCAGTACTGTGACCATGTTCATCAGTACCGTGACCATGTTCGTCAGTACTGTTACCATGTTCGTCAGTACTGTGACCATGTTCGTCAGTAGTTACCATGTTCGTCAGTACTGTGACCATGTTCGTCAGCACTGTAACCATGTTCGTCAGTACTGTGACCAAGTTCATCAGTACCGTGACTATGTTCATCAGTACTGTGACCATGTTCATCAGTACCGTGACCATGTTCATCAGTACTGTGACCATGTTCATCAGTACCGTGACCATGTTCATCAGTACTGTGACCATGTTTGTAAATACCTTTCCCTGTTGGTCTGTCTGTACAATGCCAATGCTTGTCAGAACTGTGACCATGTTTGTTAGAACTAACTAAAATACTGGTTCCATAACAATCAATAATAATATAGAACAAAACAAGCAGAGTTTATGAATGAAAATCAAAAAGAAAAGTTAGCACACCAGGTGTTCATCCCAAGGACACAGACACGTGCATAAACGCAAAAAAATATAATTTAAAAAATTTATTCTTTAACTTATTTACAGGTACAGTATATGTAGTTAATGCGTGCAGGTGATGGGTACACTTGTACTGATATATAAGGATACAAAACAATCACTGATATTTCTATAGATAAAAGCCTGTAAATGCCATCAGATAACATCATAACTTCAAAAGTATGTGTGAGTGTGTGTGTGTATGTGTGTGTGTGGTGTGAGATAGAGAGAGAGTGTGTGTCTGTGTGTGTCTGTGTGCGTTCAAGCGCGTACCTATGTATGTATGGATAGATGGATGGACGGATGTATTCATGTATGCATTGTGTGTGTATGTGTGTGTAGGGGTGGTGGGGTGGGTGTATGCATTGTATCTATATGAAATAACAATAACATAGACAAAATTATTCATCCCTCTCCTTATCGTGCTTGTAGATATGACTAAAAGGAGAACCAAGACGCAAGGGAGGAGTGCAGAGAAAGGGACAGCCAGGTGTGCGAGAAAGGATGGAGACGGTACAGCACAGGTTAATGAATCATAACTTTGTCGGCACTTGCTTCTCTAACACCTGGCTGTCCCTTTCTCTGCACTCCTCCCTCGTAACAAATAGTGAACTGTGTCAAACTTTTAATGATAGTTTGTTAAACAACTTATTAATTTTAGAACATAAATTCTGCAAAGAAATCACAGAGTTGGTCTGATGTTTAGATTATGATCAGCGTTTCATTGAGTATTTTATGTTTATTAGTTTTCGAGTTAGATTGCAATTCATCGGTCCGCTTTTGAGCCAAACGGACTATAGGTGTCATTCAACTTATGATTGGTTCAATGGAGAATTACTGGAATTGTCCTCATCATTGTGTAAGCTCTGGATACAAATGGTTACATTATCAAATGTACGTACAGTCGCCCAAAAAGGCTTATTACACAAATATGAAAACTGAAAATCGTGTTTCATTATTTCCTAGGTCTGGTTAAATCAGTGCATTTCTAAAAGAGAGAATACAGCTGAAATTGTGATCCTCAATTTCCGAACTCATCTGAAATATTGCTGACTGTGAAGTTAAACAAAGGAAGCTTGCACAAAAGGTTGTATAGTTACACAAAAAAATACAAGTTAATAAAAAATATAAGATTTTTAGTTATATTAATTGAGACACAATGCATTCATAATTTCAAGTTCACTGTTCAATCTTGATTCGTTTGGAGATTACTTTTAATGAGAAGACCAAGTTTCTATTACAGACTGTATTCTACTCTTAGCGTTTGTTAATTAAACATAAGGCTTTACTGGCAAACAAGGATAAGCTGGGCTGGCGCAGAGAATGTGTTTACGAGAAATAGGCAGTGCACGGCAATGGGCAAACCCATTTGGTTCGTGAAAGGTAGAGCAGATGTAGGCTAGTGCACATGCAGTGCATGATGATGAAATTGATTACGCACGTAGCTGCTGAGACAGGCCACGTGTTGCACCCATCGCACTACATGTGATCGCGGACAACCTGGGGCCCCTTCGCTCGGAATGGCAAGCGCCAGTGGGTGGCACTCATACATGCTAATACAGGCCAATTGTCAGGGAGGTGCTCAACTTATCCTTGTTTGACAGTAGTCTTTAGCATAGACTCTGATATGGGCTGGTTTTGTAGGACACCTTACCCATTTGTCATAGGTATCTCAAATGTACATGATCAAGTGATACTTTGTGTTCCTACTTCCTTGTAACAACACATTGTGAAAAGGATCTTCTTCAATTATACCAGACAGATCTTTCCTGTTAAAAGCAAAATCTTTTCAGTCACAAAATGTTCCATCTGTACATCTGCATCAGTTACCTGAGCTGACACAAGAAGGTGATAAACATCATAGTGTCCAGCCTCAGCTGCCATCATCACTATTGTACGGTCCACGCTATTTCTCCTGTTGATGTTGATTTTGTTCAAAGAGAGTAGTTGCCTAACAAGAGACATGTTACCTCTTTAACATGCATACATCAGTCATCAGTAAGTGACAGATCAGCTCTCTCTGATACAAGAAGGTTATAAACATCAACTTGTGTCCAGCCATCATGACTGGTGTACACTTGTCGCGATCTCTACTGTTAAAAGACAGTGGATGACTAACTATAGACATGTTAAAGTGATCCCCTTATTTACATACACCAGATAGTCTTTGCCCTTGTCATCGGTAAGTGACAGACCAGCTCGCACAGTTGGAGCAATGTATCCTGTGAATGTTGAGTATTTTCAAAGAAAGTCGGTGCCTAACTATAGACTTGGTACCTCTCGTATATGCATACATCAGACAATCTGTGTCCCAGTCATCAGTAAGTGACATAGTGACTAAGGCTGAAAGGATAGTAGCAGAGAGACGTTGGCTCAAGTCATGTTTGGAGGTCGACACACAAATCTTCTGCAAAGCTAGGAATCTAGTTTCGATATACATTAAAAACAAGAAAGAATTCTTGAACACTCGCATAGATCAACGCAATCAGATCCACATTCCCAGATCACCATCAGTCAGCTGTGTGAATTTGAACCTTTCACTGAAGAGGAAGTCCTGAAACTCACAACGAGATCTAAGCCAACATCTTGCTATCCGATTGGATCCGATTCCAACAAAACCCCTCCTGCAAATTGGATATTCTTCTTCCGGTGATTGTCTCCCTTATCAATGCTTGCCTCCAGTCAGGACTGATGCCGTCAGTTCTGAAAACAGCAATTGTAAAGCCCCTTTTGAAGAAACCATCCTTAGACTCTGACAATTTAAAAAAACTACAGGCCTGTTTCAAATTTATCATTCCTATCAAGACTTGTGGAAAGAGTTGCTGCTGAACGTCTCTCGCATCTTGGTCAGCATGGATTGTTTGATGAGTTTCAGTCGGCCTATATAAAGCACCACAGCAGCGAGGCAGATCTTGTCAAGGTCCTCAATGACTAGAGGCTTGGTGTGGACA